AACTTTGTCCAAAGAAATAATTTAGGAACTAGAAACATTTAGCCTGAAAGATGGAACAAGCATTACTTTTGTTGGTTTCAATATTAGGAAGACTGAAATGTGCACGTGAGATTGTCTTGAAAGGCAAAATTAAGAGCAATATGTGGAAGACACCGAAAAGCAAATCATGACTTAACTGAAGCAAGAATATACTACAAAACAAAGCATTCCAATTACAAGCAACTCTCCACTTCCAGAAACATTCATATAAAAGCTATGTGGTCACCTTGATGAAAAGTAATGGAGGGAATGCACCTTACTCCTATCTCTGAAATTCTGATTGCGAGTACTATTCACATAATTCCAGAATACCTATAATAGTCCCAGATTTCTAGTTCAGAACTATTTTCTTTTACAAAGTTATCAAATTCATCAGATTTTGAAAACACTGGCTCAAGATTTCTCATTGTGTCTGTTTTCTAAATAACCTGACATTTTTGCTACGTCACCTTTATGCCCAGTTCTTGGTTTGCACAGGCTATATAATAAGTCGCAGAACATTGAGGGCAGAGGACAGGTGAACTATTTTGTATTTCCCTAATGGTGTTTCCTCCCACCACAACCTTTCTAGAATCTGATCAGTTTCTGTGCCAGTTATCAATTTATAGTCTCTCAGCTCTAAATTCACTCTGAAGGGTCTCTCCCACTGCTTTCTGGCAGCTGCGCCATCAGTTATCACAGTGGGTATGAAGACATCCAGTGGTGCTCTGCCCCAGTCACAATCCCAGAACGTGGTTTTCCTTGGCAACCTCACAGACCTGGCCCAGGCTGGGGATCACCTTCCTTCAACCTTTCCAACCAAACACTTCATGTTCTAGGCATCCTGCCAGCACTGGGACCGTTCACTGCCTCTGCATGCCCACACACCCAGTCACCAGGGGTAGCTTCCCTGAACCTTAAAGGGTGGCTTCCTGCTTGCCTGGTGACTAAAGATCAACTCTGGTATGGGAAAACCAGTAAACTTGTCATCCACTGGGCTGTAGTTGTCCCTTCTTCAACAAGGTGTGAACCCAAATCTTAGGCCACTTCTTTCAAGTTTTTCCTTCCTTGGGTACTCACTCTCGGTTCTGGGGTACCGTATAGAGTTCTCTTATATCTTATCTCTTTTGTCATAATTTAAAACTTTTTTATATTCAACTTCCCTTGTTTAAAAATCACTGTGTGGTTTCTGTTTCTAGATTGGGTCCAGACTGATAGGTTCCCAACAAGCCAGGCTCAAGGAAGCAAAACAATGAAAACCAGTCACTGCAAGTTTTCCTAGACTTAGTCCTAGATTGGTAAAATAGTTCATATATCTAATGAAATGCAAAATATATAAAAACAAAAATCTTAAAGCTTTTAGGACTCAAGAAGTTAGAAAGCTTACAGCTAAGTCATCCAAAATACACAAATGTTGATCTTATTTGATAAACAGTGGCAGCAACATCAAAAAAGAAAGAACTCTTCCATAATAGGTTTAATTTGCCTCATCTTAAAAAGGATTTGCAGAACATCACATAAATAAGGATGTGGTCTATCCTATTTGAGTTTACAACCTTACACAGGGAACCAGGCTTAGAATCATTATCAACACTTTAAGTTTACATGTTCCTGGTTATCCAACGTAATGTAAGAGGAACTATCATCAAGGAGATAAAACAAAATCAATCATCTAACATTTTGAAACATTTTCTCCCCTAGGAATACAATGTGGTATAAGAGGCACTATCCAAAACAGAAAAGAAAAAATACAATAGCTAAATGAGCGATGGGGGAAGGAGAATGGAAAGCCAGCCAACCTACCAGAGTTTGGAAGAAGGCTAGAATGTTCGGAAAAGAAAATACAAGACTCAGTCAGAGCTTTAAAGAAATAGCAGAATAAACTTTAGATAAACAGAATGAAAGAAAATTGAGTGTTTCCAGCATGGTAAATAATATGCACAAAGTTGAGAATATACATAGGAAGTTTGGGAGACTCTGAGGAAAGCAATGTAGCTACAGCAAATTCACTGAAATTAATCAGTAAGGCTACAGTAGTGGTGTACAACAGTGTTTTGCAAAGACCAGTTAGCCTGTCTTCAGTGTAAGGGCTAAAAATGAGGAGAGGAACATTTAAGGTTGAAATAGGTATTAGGAGACAAAGGGACTAGGCTCAGTTAAGGTAATGAAGGATGGATAGAAGTTGTTACATTTGTTACATTGTGAGAAAAGTTGTTACACAGAAGGGTCTGGTCTAGGATAAGGACAATGTAGAAGAAACTGGAAGGGTAGAAAGCTAAGAGTTTTTAAAGCTAAGGTTTTTTTTGTTCAAAAAAGGAAAATGATCTTAGCCACAGATGAGTATAAATAAGAAAGGAAGCACAGAAGTGGGAAAGGAATAACTTCAAATATCACAAGAAAAATACCTAACAATATAACTTGCTATATACAATGTGTTCAGGTTTAGACTTAGGTTTGCGCCCATCACTATATGATAGGCAGTACAACCCAACACAACATATAGCCATGGATGAAACATCCGATCAATACACGGAATAGAAAGATACAGTCTTTTACATTTGAAGAAACTTCAGTTGTTCAGAAATTATCAATTTTATTGGCCCTTTGCTTCTTTCATCTCCTTTCATGCTACTTGCCTTTTGGTAAGTTCACTTCTCCAAGCAAGCACTTTCATCAAATAGGTTTTGAGACATAGTGAAAGGTGGGACAGGAAAAATGAAACAAAATGCAAATCTATGAGTGATTTCATGTATTCAAAACATGGGCGGGGGGGAGGAATCTTGTCATGATTTATCTTCAGGCAACATTTTGGTATAGCTATATATAACTTAACAAGACATTATCCTAAACATTAAATACAAAATAATACAAAAAAATCCATATTTATAAATTTCAACAGGAAATAATATAACAAGAGAGACGTATAACTTAAACAAACCCAGAAATCTCTATGAAGCTGAAATAAATTGTCACTGGAAAAACTGAAAGTCGAGTTCTTATTGGTAGTAAGGAAAATACAGTTAAGCTTTCAATCTTCACATACTCATCACACCTTTATCCCTCGATCTCAAATAATTTGGGGGATTAGGTTTGTTAAATTCTTTTCATATTCAATTAAAAATCTGAAATGTTTTGAGGCTGGCCAGGTGGCATAGTGGTTGGGTACACATGTTCCGCTTCAGCAGCCCGGGTTTCATGGGCTCAGATCCTGGGCATGGACCCATACACCACTTATCAAGCCATGCTGTGGCAGCGTCCCACATACAAAATAGAAGATTGGTACAGATGTTAGCTCAGGGACAATCTTCCTCACCAAAAAAAAAAAATTTGAAATGTTTCATTAAAATTTTCTCATTTTTCCTACTTAACATTTTTCAATATACTAAAAAGAAAGAAAAGAGTTGATAAAACTTTATATTCATAATGCAATTTTTTAAATCTAATTGTTGTCATTATCTGCTTTTAAATTCCCAGGTCAGGGGGCCAGCCCAGTGGTGTAGTAGTTAAATTCGTGCGCTCTGCTTCGGCAGCCCTGGGTTCACTGGTTCAGATCCTGGGCGCGGACCTGTGCACCACTCATCAAGCCATGCTGAGGCGGTGTCCCACATATTGCAACTAGAAGGATATACAACTATGACATACAACTATCTACTGGGGCTTTGGGAAGAAAAAAGGAAAAAAGGAGGAAGACTGGCAACAGCTCAGGCCCAATCTTCCTCAAAAAAAAAAAAAATTCCCCACTCAAGCAGTCTCAATACTGTTGTCTCTTTTCCTCTGGAAATCTCAAAATAAAAAATATTGAAATATTTAACATGTAATTAATTCAATCAATTATCTAGAGAATTTCTTGAACATTTATCATTTATATTTTTTCTTAGTTGACTCTCCTACATATTTCTTTTTTAAAAGGTTGGAATTAACCATTTTCATAAAGTTAACTTCCCTTTGGGGTAAAAGACTAAACTTCTGTATTTATTTAACACAAAAGGAAAAATACTCCTTTGGTAAGTATAATCAAGTTTCTTAAAATATTAGTTATAAAATTTTAGGACAGGCTTATTTTACTTTAGTATTGAAGATATGCTCTTGCAAATGGGAGCACTAACCAAATCAGTGCTACACAGCCATTACAGCATAATCTCTTTGGAGATGTTTTCTAGGCATAGTAAATATTATGTCTGATCAACAGATAATATGTAGTTAGAATTTTATTATCTGATGTCTTTATTCTCTCTGTCTTCTTTAGAATTTGTCTAATAGTGGATTTCGTTAAGCCGGGAACACCATCAATCCAGGTCCACCTGATGTTTACCCACTTAAAATCTGCATTTTTAACAGCCAGCCATACTTTAATCATCAAAGTAATGCCTTGTTTGATTGTATGCATACTATTTGCTGTGAAGAAGACCATAGTCATAAAATAAAATGTCAGTGGCAGAAATACTTCCACAGAGTAAACAAAACAAACTTACCGGCAAGTGCCTCTCAGACTGGGCAAAAAGAACAGCACAGTGACTCTAATTCACTGGCCGAGAAAGACAGGGTTCAGTCTACACTCTTTGACATGTCAGTTCTATAACAAAGGTCTCATGTAGTGCTTTAACTTTGGGGAAAAAAATTCTTTGACTCAACGTATTTAGAAGTTCCTATTTACTTAGGAAAGATGCTACCACTAGGGTAAAGTGTTAACTTGTAGTATCTGTATACATACACAGATATTCTTCAATTTCATCAGATTTCTTTAAATATGCTCCATTAGTCACGCGTTATGACTTAATTCGTAGTTTTGTTGGTAAAGATGCTTCCTGTTTATTAGATGTTCACTTGGTAGAAACTGCAAAATTGTAGAGCTCTGTTCAGTTCCAGCTAGGGACAAACTTTAAAGACTACAAATTGCTTTAAAGAAAGTTCAGTTCTTAGAAAACAGCTTTAAAACAGAGAGTTGCTTTCTGATTTTCCATATTCATTTTCTTTAAGTTTAGTTATCAAATTTCATAAAGCAATTGGCCACTGATCTCAGTTCTTACTAGTTTGAGCTAACCCCAAAACTAAAATCTGGGAAATAATCTAATATGAAAATATTAAATTCTCAAATATCCTCTCCCAAAATGTTCTGTAAATTGTCAAGTATTATCAAGATTATCTTACACAGAATCAAAGCATTAATTAAATGAGGTTCTCTTGGATTTTCACAACATAAAACATTCCTTTTGGCATCACCCCACTATTAAATTACTGTTATTTGCAAATACAACACAGCTTAAGTATTTGATTTATGAAAACTTAAAAGTAACAGACTTCCATATGGATAAGATAGACCATAACAATTTTGATATTTCTTTAAGCTCCTTAAAATGGATGCTAACTTTATCAAAAAGTCTATTTAAGAAATTTTGGGTAGAAATCAGGAAGAGTTTCTTAATGATCCAGAACCAGATGATAAAATGATAAGGATGCTGAAGAAGGTTTAAGTCCACATAAGCTTCAAGAACAGAAATCATCCATCTTTGAGTATTAGACATTTGCTGGCCTGAAGACCAAAGTCAGGCTATAGGACACAGTGTGGGTCCTTCCAGTTCACATTCTGGTATTCTGGCACAAAATGAGATTAGGTCACAAAACCCATGGACATTTTCAAGTTTGGTTTTTTAAAAAATATATAATACTTGAACCAATTACAGTATAATGTATGGCTTATAATTACTTTGTCAGTTTCAGGAATAGAAAAAAATAAACATTTTTGTTCTGTGGTGTCTATTTATTGGTTAGACTGTTTTATTTTCCTCTTCACATTTTCGGTGACTGTTTTCCACTGGTATCATCAACCAGGTCTCTCAGGCGAGATAAATGGTGCAAAGCCCTTCATTAAAAAGTATAAAACATATTATAAACCAATATTAAGAACTGAATAGGCAGACAGCAAGAAATGGTAATTACATTGTTTATTAACTTTGAAATTAGTATGAGAAATGAATTTATAGAATAATGTAAGTATCAAACTTTGAGAATTTTTCCTTATAAACCCTTCAGATCTGAATAATTGAGGGTTAAAATAATTCATCTAAAATTCTATAAACATTTACTTTAAAAAATTATATGTTTGATAGTCAAGGTTTTTTTTTTAGTTTGCCAAGTAGCCTAATAAGAAACAATAACAGATATCATTTGTGTCACACAACATTTTTTTCATGTAATTTTCACAACAGCTCTGTGAAATGATACCTTTTCTTTTGGTATACTGTATATATCATTTAAAAAATAAAGTATACAATTCATTTTTAACAGTACATTCAAGATAGCCAAAATTTTAAAAATAGCACTGAAGGATCAGTTACAATTCTAAGGAAAACTCATTTTTATTGAGCATGGGGGAAACAAATGACAATTATGTTGAATAATGTGGTACCAACAACCTGGTTTTTCTTTAAAATAAAGCCAAGATTGTAGGTCGGGTGTCAGTGGAGAAAACTCAATCAGCCCTCCAACAAATGAGGAAAAGAGAGGCCCTTAACTGTCTAGTCTTCCTCTAAAAATACTCTTCCAGTTTTTCCTCTCCCCTATCCTTCAGATCCTTGAGGACCACTCAGAAAATGTCAATCAACCATATTTTCTATCTCTGATAAATAAGAGACCACGAAAAACAGAAATAATATAATAGTAATGATGTGCAGTAATCTTTAATGTTAGTAATTTCTAAGGTGAGCCGAAAGGTGCTGACTACAACACCCTATTCTTTAGTCTCTAAGAGGTTCCATAAATGTATATTAAATAAAATACATCTTCCACTTTACCCAGGATAAGGAGACAGAAGAAACTAGTAGTCTTAATTACTGCATTATATCTATTTCCCTGTACTCTACTTCTTGGACACTTTTACTGAAATGTAATAAGAGAAGACTCTGGATTCTGCCACCCTTTTGGCAACGCCAGTTAATTTTTGAAATTTTCATCTTCATTAACTGAATAACAATAACTCAGCCAAAGTTACTAAGCAATCAGGGGTAAAATTAAATACACTCTCTCATTTCTACATTCTATAGTAATATCTCTCTACCTAAAAAGAATTATTTTCTTCCTAGAGACACACATTTATGAGAAAGAAGATAATTTGTAAATATACTTGGAACTTATCTTCCTTTTTCCTTTCAGGCTTGTTATTTAACCACCTGTGACTCAAGAGAAAGAAAATGGCAAGTGGTAGAGTTTTATCCTACGTTTACAACTCTGAGGGCCACAGAGACCTTGGATTTAGAGAGTCTACAAAATTGGATGGGGAAAAAAAGCTTCATCTTTATTTTCACTAAATGCTATCTGTAAGTCAGCATTTCCTTCCATTCTGAATGTAAGGAACAGACCAAAATATGTGACCTCATATGCCACAGAAATCACAGATATTTTCATATCACATTATAGTCATTGCAGATATCTCAAAATATCTTTATACTCATCACTAGTTCAAAATTACAATAATTATATTAATAGTTACAAAATTATTATAGTTATTAAACCCACTGCTAGAACATATGCAATTTAAGTCTTTTTGTCTACAGTTCAAAAGTTCACATGACATTACTGACCACAACTTTAAGCCTAGTTGTTCATCCACTGAATAGTAAAGTCTCTGGTGACCCAGACATTGATGCTTTCCAATATTCCCTTTCTCTAACTGTTTGCTGATCAACGTGTGAAAGGTAAGTAAAAGACCACACCATGGTTTAACGCTTTTATTCAAGCTATGCAAAAGGCCTTCAGACAAAAACATGTTTTCACAAAATGAATTTTAACTTACCTATATTTTAAATGTATTGTCTTATTTTAAATGCATTAATAAAGAAGCACATATTACTAACTAGAAATTTATTTTAATATTTTCATAACTGTAATTCAATATAATTGTTTTCCTTTCTAATCCTATGTAGTTTATTTTATGCCTTTAAAAAACAATGTCAGGGGGCCAGCCCCATGGTGTAGGGGCTGAGTTCGTGCCCTCTGCTTCATCAGCCCAGGTTTGGATCCCAGGCGCGGACCTACACCACTCATCAGCCATGCTGTGGCGGCAACCCACATACAAAGTAGAAGAAGACTGGCACAGATGTTAGCTCAGGACTAATCTTCCTCAAGCAAAAAAAGAGGAAGATCGGCAACAGATGTTAGCTCAGGGCGAACTTTTCTCAGACAAAACAAAACAATGCCAGGGAAAAGAAAAGGAGGGGAGAAGAGGAGAGGGGAGGGGTATAGTATGATAAGAAGGAATAAAAAAGCTAAGTAGAAATGTGAAGTCTTCAGGCCCCCTACCTCACCTCGCCTACACAATCAGCTGCCAATGCCTTTCATTTAACCTCTATCTGCCCTGCTGAGAATAAAACAGTCTACTCAAAGAAGAGGCTATCAAGTGATTGTTGTTTCAAAGGTATGTGCAGGGAGAAGTGGAGGGTAAATTACAGAAGGAAATTATTCTTGATTTCCTTGTCTAAGAAAGTGAAAAAGCAGACTAATAGAGAAAACATCAACTTAACAGTTATGTTACAACACTGAGCAGTCATTCACCTTAAAAACTGAAATAAGAAACTTGTTTCTTATTGTGACAATGTATCTATCGATGACAGGAGCTATCTATTTATTAGAGCAAATACATACCAACCCACAGAAACTCAGTAACAGAATGATAATATGAAGGCAATTTAGCTATATTTTAACTTACTCATTGAGACCTTGCGTTTGGTTTCCTATTAGTACTATATATTGGCTGTTTTTGTTTTTTTTTTTGTAAGGAAGATCAGCCCTGGGCTAACATCCATGCCTATCTTCCTCTACTTCATATGGGATGCCGCCACAGCATGGCTTGACAAGCGGTGCGTAGCCGGGGTTCTGGAACCTGTGAACCCTCGGGGCACCAAAGCGGAGCGCATGCACTTAACCGCTACACCACCAGGCTGGCCCCCAAACCGGCTGTTCTCTTAATGGCCCCCAAACCTTGTTCTCTTAAATACTATGTTTACTGGCCTATATTCAGCCTAATATCCAGCAAGAACTGAATGAAAGGCTTTTTAGAACCAACTGCCTACCACTCCCTAGATCTAAGTAAAGTATGAGTACATTAGAATAAAGAAAAACCTCTGCTTTAGGATCATGTTTTGCAAGTCTAAGAGGTAATTCTGTCTACCTCTAGTATAGAATGAAGACTAGAAAACTGAGCAGGAAGAAATGGGACAACTTTCTTGTTGTCATTAAGTTTCGTTTTCACAGTACAATCTTTAGTATTGAAAATTACAAAATCTTACATGTTCATTTCCAAATTATATATAAAACAACATATTCCAAAGCGAAATACAAATTATTTTTGGATGATTGATGATTTCACAGTCGTCTATTGTTTATAGTACATGAGTGATATACTATGGCTCATTCATCACAGCCAGCCTAGGCAGAGTAGCTGGTGGCTTATAAGACATAATAAAAGATTCTAGAAAAGGCCCTTGCTCAAATTTTTTACTTGCTTAAAGATGACAAATGTATCTTATGGAGGTTTCTGTTAATAAGTTTTTATTGAATTCCCAATACGTAGATGCATAAGACAATGTTAAGTATTATAGAGATACAAAACAATTACTATTTTGATTTCTACTAAAAGCAAAATCACTCTGGAAAAAATAACATTTTATTTTGATGAAGTATACACCATTCATGTATACTTCAGCTCCTAGAGAGTAGTTATTTCTAATGGGAGAACATAAGAAAATCAAGCGTCCAAGGCAGTAAACAGAACCCACACTAAAAGCTTGGAGTTTCCTAAGGCTAATGAAAGATATTTTAAAACTGGCTAGCAACCCAAACCGTTAAAAACTGTTATTTGAGGAATGGGGAGAGACATAATAGTACTTTCACCCTAGGAAAGGTCATTAAAGCACCCAAGGTACAATCTGTAACATCTGAAGAAGCTTAGTCTATTTATTTTAAAATACGAAAAGATGACGATTAACCTAACCAGAACATTTTGCAGTCTAGAAAGAGGAATTCTGAGACTGAATTAATTTTAAATTGTCCTTAAAACAGTCAATCTATAGACTAAAAATAATGAAAAAATATACTAACATGCCTTTGTAAGACTAAACTTACTTCATAACAGTACAAATGCCTTACTGATAATACTTTTGAAATGTAAAGTAAAAGCTAAATTAAGATTGCCTCAGCTAATCCAACAGAATCAATAGCTAAAAGCCATTTAACAAAACGTGACTCTTACTCTGAAAATGGCATTCTATATGTAGGCAAGATTATTGATTGTCTAAGGTGGAAAAAAGTTACTATTAAAAAAAATTCTAGCAAATGGTAAAAGCACCTATGATCAGTAGCAATTTTTGCGGTCATTTAATCACTTATGGCCCAGTGTTCATTTTCACCAAGAAAAACATCCTCCAGGGTATGTACTTTAAGTCAGAAAACACTTTTATGTCTGTGACACAAGTTCGATATCAATGCTTTTAAGAGTCATAGAAAGCTTGAGGTCATCTAACTTAAATTTTAAAGAAGAATGAGGTCTTTATCCTAGATAATCAATTGAGGCCCTGCACCTAGTCTAAATGGATAATGCACCACTATCCACTATCCGTAAGTAGAGTAGTGTTAGGAACATAGGCTGTAGCATCAGACTGTCTGGTTAGAATCCCAGTGTTACCTCTTACTAGCTATGTAACCTTGGGCAAGTTACTTTATTACTTGATCATTATCACCTGATCTGTATTATGAAGATAAAAACTGTACTTACCTCAGAGTGTTGTGAATATCACATGAATTACATTCAAAAGCATTCAGAACACTGACACTTGGTCAATGTTAGTTATCATTACTCAGGGAATCCTACTAGGTATACAACTCTATACCCAAGTACTATGGCAAGCTACAAAGAAAGAGGCATTATTTCTACCCAAAAGATTATAAATTAAGCAGAGGGGAAAAAAATCATATATATATTTTTAAACTCTGAAAACAAAAAAGATACATATATCTCATGACCATCTCATGACAATTACATGTCTAGTGTTGCACTTTTCCACTGCTTCCTTAGATAACAGAATCCTAAGCAAATTCTGAAAGGACAAAATGTATACGGTATTTGTTTAGCCCCATTTACAGCCAAGTGAAACAGTGTTATAAAAGCAAAAATTTTAATCTTAGGGGCTGGCCCCAATGGCTTAGCGGTTAAGTGCTCGCGCTCCACTACTGGCGGCCCGGGTTCGGATCCCGGGCGTGCACCGACACACCGCTTCTCCGGCCATGCTGAGGCCGCGTCCCACATACGGCAACTAGAAGGATGTGCAACTATGACATACAACTATCCACTGGGGCTGAGGAAAAAAAAAAAAAGGAGGAGGATTGGCAATAGATGTTAGCTCAGAGCCGGTCTTCCTCAGCAAAAGGAGGAGGATTAGCATAGATGTTAGCTCAGGGCTGATCTTCCTCACAAAAAAAAAAAAAATTTTAATCTTAGCATTTCCTAAACTCAGTATTCCATCTTCTGAGGGCACATCATATTCACACAACCAAACCCATAAGTAAATACCCTTCTCTTCTGCAAACATCATGACTACAGGAAAGACTTGTATTCTTCCTCACTTTTTTAGTTAAGATAAGAAATAAGTATAAGGAACTAAGAAAATAGGTAGATTAACACCCTTAAAGCATTTAGATCTATCTTTATACCTAGAACATTATACCCACTTAAGATTTCTGTGGAGATATGTGAAATAATAATACATTCATGATTATTATATTTATTCTAGAGAGAATATATGAAAACACATTTCATGAACAAGTTGTTCTTCCAGGATATCCATACCAATACTATCTCAAATTGTTGCTATTACTTAGAAATGAAAAGGGAATCTCTCTAGGCCATCCACAGCCATTATATTTTAGATGTCTAAGGTTATCTTATTAGGTCTTAAGAACATTTTAAATAGGCAATAGCACCGGTTTAAGAGAAAACTTCAGGATTAAACAATATGCTCCAAGAAGCTTAAATATATCTTGTATATCTATTCTTAGAACTAATTAATTCCATCCTGTAACCTTCTGATTTCAATCAAAGGGATGGCTGAAATGGATTTGTATCCATAACATATTCAGAAATTAGCAGAGAATACTTACTTTTGAAGTGACCTAGTAATAGGAACCATACTTTCCTTCAATTGTAATTTAGAGAGATCATCTTCTGAAACCTATTATTAAAAACACCAAATATAATAAAATATTGAAAATTTTATATAATTTAAGTGCTATTTAATATGCGATTAATAAGAACATTAAAAAATATTGTCTGGGGGCCGGCTCAGTGGCATAGTGGTTAAGTTCGGCATGCTCCGCTTTGACGGTCTGGGTTTACAGGTTTGGATCTCAGGCACGGACCTACACCACTCATCAAGCCATGCTGTGCAGCAACCCACATACAAAATAGAGGAAGACTGGCACAGATGTTAGCTCAGGGCCAATCTTCCTCACCAAAAAAAATATATATATTGTCTGCATTTCCAAGGAAATAATTCTAGCAAATAATTTTCAATAAAGCATTAAATATTTTTATTTTCTCTTTATTCTGAAAATACTACTACTACTACTTAGACTCATCCTTCAGTTATCCTGAAGTATGATTCTAAATATATGTCCAATAAAAATCAAATCTTGGCTTAAAATTATGACTTTATTGAACAAGCTTATGTCTCAATGATGTTTAAAAGGGGAGGAAAGAGAAGGATGAATTACACTCTATATGTTAATGTTATGATCATTAGAATATAAAGAGAAAAACTAAGAAATACAACTCAAAAGAGTAGGCTCTGATAGTTCCCAAGAGCTGATCCACTCATTTATAGTGAAAACTGAATTTCATAAAGTTCTATTGAATAACAAAACAATGACAATAAAAACATTTATTAAATATTTACCAGGTATTAAGTTTTACCAGGTGTCAAGCACTATAAGCACTTTATATAGTTTGTCTCAATTTATCTTCTCAACAACCTCATTTTACAGAGGAAGAAACTGAAACTAAAGAGGTTAAGTGATCTGTACAAATATTGTACTTGCTAAGAAATGGAAAAATCAGAATTTATAATCAGACTTGGGAGAATATAAACTCTATGTTCGTAAACACTATAATACTGTGAAGAAAATTCAACCCCTACAGGAGAAACCCAAAGCAGAAAGAGATTTCCAAATTCCCAGGAAATATACAAAAACACAACAGTTTTAAAATAAAACTTTACATAACTGTATTCAGAAAAGTCAATAAATATATGGTAACAAAATTAAATTTCAGATGACAAAGGTACGTGGAGAAGCCTAAAGCTGAAAAAGTTTCAAGGCCTCCTCGAACATAAATGCAAGAAGTTGGACCACACAGAATAATTTTGTAGGGCATTCATAAACAACTCTTACAATTCTTTCATATTATAGTTGTAATGCCACATCTAAATAAGATGTTGTATTTATAACCATAAACTAAATACAACAATCCATTCAGGGGTACATAACTGCAGAAATCTAATAGTATTAAATTTGATTAACTTTCTGAAAAAAGAATAACAGTACAACTCTACCACATGTGTTACGTGGCATGCTTATTAACATAAAACTAGAGGTCAATCTGAAAAAAGAACTAGGAAGAAATCTTTTCTCTTCACAGATCTCAATTCACATTCACAGGTCTCAATCCATAAATCACGTTTGTGCTTACTTGCTTAATTTCTTCTTTCGGCTCTGTGGTTTTATTCTGATTAAAACTTTCTTGTACTGCTTGAAGATTAAATAACATTTGTTTCAGGGCTTCAACAGGACCATGATGTTTTCCTCCAGAAAGGGTACAGCTCTAAAGGAAAAATAGATGAATGATTAACCATTCAAATTCAGGGGGAAAAAGTTATACTTTGTATTACTTTCTCCGATATAAAATTAATGCAAAAATCCAAACAATACATGTCAATAAAGTATTTTAAAAAATCAAAATTGTAATTCATCACCTTCTCATACCTAGTTCCCAGATGAAGTTACTCAGAGACAATCATTATTAACAGTTTGGCATCCTTTCTAGTTCTTGCTCTTTTACAATGAATAGCACATGTTTACAATTGCAATGCATTCCTTTAGTACATTTAAAATCATAGACTTTTAGAACTGAAAGGTCCTCAGAGAGCAGTTAAGACAACACGCTCTTTTCAGGTGTGTAAATGAAACTGGTTATCAGCTAAGCAAGGCCTAGAATTTCAAATATATTATTCTCTGCACACTTTTAAATATGCTTTCACACAGAAAATGCTAGTTTTTCACCTGTTCATGGGCCACACATTCCTTGCTACCTAAAAAACACTCATACCTCGACTATCACTGATCTTACCTGCGTCCAAAGAAGGCAACAGCACTTAGCCACATAAGGTGGTCAGGATTCTTTTAAGAGAACCTGTAAGGGATATTTTTAAACTTCTTCTTAAAAGTATTACCAACCTATTATTTTTACATCTTTCAAATGAGTTTCTGTGTCCTGATAACTATCCACAAAGTGGCAAACAGTCCTCTTAAGATGTCTGTAATTTAACATATTTCAGCATGGACAGTATAGGTACTATTTAAATTTCAAGTCTAGAGGAAGTTGTTGACTTCTAGCATAAGAATATTAGAAGTGGGCTCTTACTGGTGAAGAGATTCAAAGTTAAGCATAATGGCAAAAAAGATTTTAAAGACATTCTCCACATTTATGAACAGGGTATAAGAAACAGAGTGTAGCAATGTAAAATTGTGAAGCTGCTACGGAAATCAGTATGCCAATTCCTCAAAAAATTAAGCGTAGAATTACCACTTGATCCTGCAATTCCCCTTCTGGTTATATACCTAAAAGAAGTGAAAGCAAAGACTCAAACAGATATCATACACCCATGTTCACAGCAGCATTGTTCATAATAGCCAAAAGGTGGAAGCAACCCAAGTGTCCACCAACAGATGAATGGAGAAATAAAACATGGTACATACATACAATGGAATATTATTTAGTCTAAGAAGGAAAGAAATTTTGACACATGATACAACATGGATGAATTTTGAAGACATTATGCTAAGTGAAATAAGCCAGTCACAAAAGGACAAATATTGTATAATTCCTTGTATAAGAAGCTATGAATTGAATTGCGTCTCCCGCAAAATTCACATTGAAGCTCTAAGCTTGAACGCAGCTATATTTGGACATAAGGAATTAAGGTTAAATAAGGTCATAAGGGTGGGGCCCTGATAACATAGGTCAGTATCCTTATAAGAAGAGACACTGAGAGCTCCGAGGAAAGGCCATATGAGGACACAGCAACAAGGCAGCTGTTTGCAACCCAGGAAAAGAGCATTCACCAGGAACAGAATCAGCTAGCACCTTGATCTTAGACTCCCCAGCCACCAAAACTGTGAGAAATAAATTTCTGTTGTTTAAGCCACCCAGCATATGGTACTTTGCTACAGCAGCTTGAGAAGAAGACTAAGATATATAAGGTTCCTAGAGTAGTGAGATCCATAGAGACAGAAAGTAGAATGGTGTTGGCCACAGGTTGGGGGAGGGGGAACAGGGAGGTGAGTTAGTGCTTAATGGGCACAGAGTTTCAGTTCAGGAAGATGAAAAAGTTCTAGAAATGGATAGTGGTTATGGTTCAACAGCAACGTAAAAGTACTTATTGCACAGAACTGTACAATTAAAAATGGTTAAAATGGTCAATTTTATGTTATTTTACCAAAATTTAAAAGAAAAGAAAAAGAAACGGGTGTAAGCATCCAGTCAGGCTTATATCCCTGCACTCTTGGACACAGCACCTGAGGCATTATCCTTAAGTGATCTGCATCCAGTCATTGGTTAGAAGAATTTCTGGTTGCCTGATGCCAACCATAAGGGTTACAAAAGGCTGCCTCTGGAATTTGCTGTCTGCCTTGAAGTGAACTTTTCATGCTAAGTAGTGGCCAGAGTACCAAAAAAGAAAACTACAAAATAGATTACATGAACTGTTTTGTGCCATTCACTAATGAATGTTAAATAAATGTTGGTATGTGTGATAGAATATATCCTAAGACTTATTTAAACCTGGTAGTGAATGTCTCTGAGTATATCTTTTCGTATAGCTCTGATTCTTAGAAGTATAGTAATGTTTCACATATTCAAAAAACAAACAAACAAAAAAAAACAAAAAACAAACCAACAAACCAAACAGAATTTGGGAAGAACCCAATATCTACAACAAAATATGAACCACCTAACAGTACTGCAAATGAACAACACGACCACGCTGAAAAGGGTTGGGAAGAAAATAATTAACCAATGTAACTTTGGAAAACAGTATTTTGACTGTTTTGGGATACTGTAGGCCTAAAGACAAAAATAACTGTACACAAATAATGTAATCTAGTTAGTAAATTTGTTTCTTACAGGGGTACGGGTTAGCAATTCTGAAACTATGTATATGCTAAGACTGAAAAAATAAGTAAAGCTATTACAGATAATAAAGGTCAGGATTCTCACAGGTGGAGAAAAAGTTACAAGAAGTAGAAAAGGCCAAAACGAACCCTGTGGTACTGGACTGGAATCAGAGGTATCAGTATGAACTCATAATTTGATACATATGGATAAAATATACATATACAGATAAAGAAATATAGATATGCATGTGTGGGTTAATAAACACACGTTTCCTAAGTCTGCCTGCTGAGAAAGTCTAGAATGAATAACAACTCAGTAGCAATAAGCACACCTGGTACCTAGTCTTAGTTTCTAAACACCATTTCCCCATAAAAAGAACCACAGCTCCTCAGAGCAGTGCTCAAAAAAGGATGGGGACATGTCAAAAGGACACAACAGCCAACCTAAAGGAACTCCTTATGGGCTAAACTGGAACAATTTGTGCAAAAAAACAAATAATATTGTATTATTAACTTAGAATAAAATAAATATCTATGAGTCTCTACTGATATAAAAATTTAATAAACAAATAAATGGGAGAGAAGGAACAACTCTTCATTACACAGGAATTTCAATTAATAATGTAGAAGAAAAGACAATATCTACCAATGGATACTAAAATTAGTGGATAAATGTTTGAGACTATTTGTATAGTCTCCAGAACTGTGAGAAATAAAAGTTGGTTGTTTAAGCCACCCTGCCTCAGACTATTTGCATAGTCTCAAAGTATCTCCCCTAAGATATTTATTAGTTACAAGGGGAAACAGTAATTTTACTAAAGAGAAAACAAGTACACACCATGTGTTCAAGGTTAATATCACAAGCATTAACATATCATTATAATTTTATATATTATTATTATTATTGTAGTAACATATTGCTGGGACTGAATGTGTCCCCCTAAAATTCATATGTTGAAGCCAAATCCCAATGTAATGGTATTGGAGGAGGGGCTTTTGTGAGGTAATTAGGTCATGAGGATGGAGCCCTCACGAATGGGATTACTGCCTTTATAAGAAGAAAGATTCCTTCCTCTCTGCTCTCTGTCATGTGAAGATACAAGAAGATGGCCATCTGCAAACTAGAAGCAGGTCCTCACCCAACACCTTGATCTTGGACTTCTCAGCCTCCAGAACTGCGAGAAATAAACGTTTGTTGTTTAAGCCACCCGTTCTCTGACATATTTATTACAGGAGCCTGAACTAAGACTCATATCAATATATCAATGATATCAATATATCATGAACCCTCTGATATGATGCACCGAGAAGGGCAGAACATCATTTCTGTTGCATTCTTGCCAAAAATGTATAACCTCATTCTAATCATGAGATAACTTCAGACAAACCCAAATTGAGGAACTATTTACAAAATAACCACCAAACAATACTGTTCAAAAGTGTTAAGGTCCTGACAGACAAGGAAAGATTGAGGAACTGTCACGGACTGAAACAGATTAAGGAGACATGACAACTAAATGCAATGTTGGATCCTGAGTTGGATCCTGGAACAGGACATTGGTAGAAAAACTGGTGAAATTAGAAAAAGTCTATAGTTTAGTTAACAATATTGTGCCTGTTAATTTCCTGTTTGTGATCATTATAATATGGTAATGTGAAATGTTAACATTAGGGAAGCTGGAAGAAGGGTGACAGGAACTTTCCCTATTATTTTTGTAACTTTCTATACATCTAAAATTATTTTTTAAAAAAACCACTGGTGGTGAGGTTGTATGTGTATGGGCAGGGGAAAAGGGACCAGTTCGTTAGTACTTATCACACATCCATCTCTAACTTAAAAAAATCTTCTGCAAATTTTTTCCTCTACCAGTTCTACTTAGCTAAGTAAATAGCACCACCCAATCCTTTAGCTGCTTGGCTCAAACATCTTGTATTCATTTAAATCTTCTCTATCTGCATCCTACCAGGTCTACCTTCAAGACACATTCCAAGTCTAACCATTTGTGATCACCCCTAATATACCCACCTGAATCCAAGCCTCTGCAATCCCCACCCTGAAAGATTGCAAAAGCCTCCTAACTCAGTTCCCTGCTCCTTCTCTAGCTCCTCTTAAGTTGATGCTTCATATGGCTTCCATTTTAAATTCTAAAATGTAGATCTGATAATTTTATTCCTCCACTCAAAACCCTCCAGTGACTTCTCATCACACTTATATAAAACGTAAAATCTTCATTCCATAGCCTACAAGCACCCACACGACCTGGTTCTTGGTTACCTCTCCATCTTATCTCTTACCATTCTTTCCCTTTATCATTCTGATTGAGCTACATAGCTACATATTCCTTGAACATGTCAAACACATTTCTGCCTTGAGATTTCTGCACCTATTATTACCTTCATGTGTAAATTTATTTCCCCGTAAGTACGTGGCTTATCCACTCATTTTAGGTTTCTGCTCAAATATCATCTCATTAGAGTGGCCATTCTTGACTACTATCTAAAATTGTACCCTCATTTCTCTATCTCAATTAATTTTTCTTCATAACATTTACATTACTCCCTTATATATTATATATTATATTTTTGTTTAGTTTGTCTCTCCAACTAGAATAAAAAATCCTAGAGGCAAGGATTTCCTCTCACTTATTCACTACTAGGAATACAGTTCCTAGAAAAGTGCTTGGTACTCAACTACTTGTCAAATAAATATTTGATAAATAACCTTCACTTACCCAGCATCTGCTATAGTATCTTATATAGAGCTCTAAGGTCAGACATATTCTGACAGCTTCTACTTTCTCTAGTAAACTTCACTCAAGGAAAAGACATTTTATTAAGATTTAGCTAATTTTTGTTTTGAGTGTTCAACTTCTTAAATCTTCCAAATGTTAAGATCCCAAAAGTATTATTTCAATATTTAACAGCCATGGCTCATATTCTTAAATCAAATTATATATCATTTCTTATGTGCATATATATACATTTATATTTTATTTTGGGGTTACTTGCAAGATGCACATATGCTTATTTTGTAAAATTTAATAATATTTTTCCTATTTTAAATTATAGATATTTATAACTGTATCTTAGAAATACAACTCCCAATAATCAACCACCCCACGGGAAAATATAACATACTCTATAATGGTCTGTTTTACATGTTTTCCAGAAGAAAACACTGTGATGACAATTTAGGCTCTCTATAGAGTTCAATCCCAGGTCCCTCTACTTTAGACTACTAAAATAAAATTATCAATAATTCTAGGAGTGATGGTTTTATGGATGTATGTTGGGGAAGAGGAGATTTGGGTCCTTTTTTCTTTTATATCATCTAAATGACTTAGAAATTAATATCTATATATTAGTCATAAATATTCTAATAAGTTAAAAAGATTTAACTTCACCCACCTGATTATCATTATTTAAAAAGTCTTCAAGGAACCCTTTAGCACACTTTGCCCTTGAAGTTTGTTCAGGACTATCATCAGAGTTAACAGGAACAGGGGATTTGCTAAATAGGATTTAAGGAAAAAAAACATCAATTAAGTTCCCAATTTATAAAAATTAGACAGTATATAATTGAATGGTTTTCATTTAGATACAAATGGTCACCAAGAAATAATCATTATGGATATGATTCATACTGACATTGCTCAGTAATTCCCTCATCTTCTCCCTAAACTGATACCAGAATCTAACCCCTCCCTATCTCCTTGTTTCTCCTTTAAAGCTTTAAGGAAAAACCATCAAGAAACTGAAGACATTAGTCTTCAACTAAACGACAAATCAGCCTTCAACTATAGCCTATGCTCCAAAAGCTCATTTGTTTGAAATAAGCAGTACCTTTTTTCACTAAACATTGTTAGTTACCCAATGATAATACACAAAACCCCCACAAACTTATACGAGTTTCTACTGGAATGGCAGGCACATGCTCTTCCACATGCCAGGAACAGAAGAGACTTCCCCTCCAGAACTGGCATTAACATGGAAGACAGATTACAGTGGGAAAACGACCAATTTTGAAATTAAAATTCCTGAGTTCAAACCCCAATCTTACTCACGTGGGACCTTATGTAACTTATTTATCTGAACTTCAGTTTCTACATTTCTAGTCCCACTTATCTCACAGAAGCATTGCATAAATTAACTCTACACATCTGGTACATTTAATAGATGCTCAATAAATATTAGTTTCTTTCTTGATGTTCAAAGGGTGGTAGAAGAAAGGGCATGAATTTTCCCAAAACCAAATTCTCTTAGTCATAGAAAATAAACTCATTCTATCTCTCCCTCATTTATGTTTCAAGATAAGATGTGTTTTAACTCAAGTACTTGGCTATCTAGGAATCTTTTTGTAACATTTACATTTCACAAGACTGATTTTTTTCTTAATAATTAGCAGCACTTCATTATTGACTCATTTGAATTGTAAATTACTATGAGCTCTTTCTTGCTCCTAAGTAGTCTTTTCTCCCATTCTTTACCAAAGGAGTTTGTACATCCATCCACTATGATCAAAGAGCATTTACCTGATTATTGAAGATGGGTGCTGAGTACATAGGGATTCATTATACTATTCTTCTACTTTTGTATTTGTCTGAAATTTTCCATTATGGAAAGTTAAACAAACAAAAAAAGCAATTATCTGGTTGTGGTTGTGTTCTATCTTTCAGTATACTACTTTGAGTACTTCCTAGTCAATTTTGGTTTTGAAGACAGACTGATAATAATTTATCTATGTCACACTGAGGTCAGGTCTACTCCTTCTTCTCACAAAATCATTAATTTTATGTACAAACATATCCATCACAATATGAATTCAATCTTCTAAAAATCAACTACTGTATGCAAGGTATTGGGCCAAACCATTGATAATACTAATTATACAAGTCAAAAGTTATGTTAACTAATTACAAAATACATTAAATGCTTCAAAAATTTTACTCCTAATTTAAACATCGCTGATATTATTTGCTCACCCATTTTGGTTTCAATTGAAAGCAAAGTATTGCAACTATGGTCTTTACAAATACAGACCAAATGATAAGAAGATAAATTAGGAAATGAAGAGAAGTTTAAGAATTAAGCGAGCTAATTATTAATCCAAATTTTTTTTTAAAAAGATACTATTGAACAAATAATTGAGAAATGAAGCTAAACAGAGAAAAAACATATTCTGGATAATCATCACCACTATTACAATTTACAAGAGAGCTCGTCATAAATCAGAAACTGTCCTAAGTACCTTATGTTTATTCTAATCAATTGAATCCTCACAACAACCCCAAAGTAAATATTATTTCTCCCTCTCTAACGTGTAGAGAAGTTAAGTAACCTGAAAAGGCCTCAGCAAGGAAGTGACAGACTCATAATTCCAAACCAGAATTATAGTCAGTGTCCACACTCAAAAAAAAAAAAAAGATGTTCAACTGGGAAGTAACCAAAAAAGGATCCAGGAATTAACAAACTCCATCTATAACAGAATGAAAGTTTAGTCAACTGAAGTTAATAAATTATCAAAGCCTAAGGCAAGATATACAGTTATCAAGAATGCATTTCTGATGAGTCCAGATGTCATAATATCACTAAGAATAAAAGCTTTCCTATCGAAGCTCCACACTCACATTCACAGGTATCTAGGTAAACACTTTTTAAATTATTCTGAGAAACTATGTCATAGAAAGGTTAATCACACAAACGAAAACAATCTTAGAAAGTGCAAAAATTTATACAATAGACTACACAAGAAAATGCATCATCATTTAAGGAAAATAAGGACTAAAAGAGAAAGTAAAATGTAAATAAAAAGAAATGGATGACTCTAACATATCGAGAGAATATAGAGGGGGAAAAGCTTAAAGCAAAAAAAGTAACAAGAATTTCACAGCACTCTCCCATCTGCAAAATAGTTACTTTTGGTTCTAATTCCTCATATTAAACATATATCAGTATTTCATAGTGCAACAAAACAAACATGTGACACAGACAAGTTATATAATCTGCCTCCAATCTTATGAAACATTACACCACCTTGTGGTAACAAATGAAAAATGCAATTTAAAGCAAGCAACACTGAAAGCTATGTTCTATAGAATTACCTTGTTATTACCATTGTTAATTATCATTGTTATTTAAAAAATAAATCAGATGTTCACATGACATTTTTCATTTGGAAAACTAAAGTTTTTCCATTGTAACTTACTTACAAAGTAACAGGAATATTTTCCCATGATCTTTCTGCTTCAAGTTTATCTAATGAACAAGGACTGTCATCCTTTTTCATAGACTTCGGTAATTCTTCTGCACAATGCTCTAGATTTCTCTTGGCCTTCAAGATAAGCAATTCAATTTTGTCACCTAATTTAAAAGATTACATTAATTTTTTAAGGAAAAAAATAAATGAAAAGTACAGCGAAATCTCACAAAGGCAACAAGAACTCAGAAAATTTGGAATATACACATATCTATAATAGCAAATTATGTTAAAATGTGACACTTCAAACAGAAAAAAAAGGGGAGAAAAGACATTTTCTAGTCACAAAGTGATACATAAATGAAGACCATAACAGTTCAAAAAAGATACATCACCTGATCATTACATCAAGAATACAACATAAAACCTCCTAGATATAAGGTCAAGTTTACAGCACTTTCTTTGGTTCTTAAAAACAAAACAAAACAAAATTACCGCTGAATGGCTTTTTGGATTGTCCTGGGAGAAGTGGATTCGCACACTGACATTGTTCAAAATCACATTTATATTCATTAACTAATCCTTTATCATCACTCAAAGACTCTGAAGTGTTTGAGGGTTCAAACGAATATTCAAAACAATCTAATTTATTCATAAGCCGAGAAGTTCTTTGGGCCTGGTAACTATGTCTAGTGGAACGTTGATCTTCTTCAAATTTTTTATAAATCTTTTGACTATTTGTATCAGGTAGCAAGTCTTGATTGTGGAGCCAGACTGGGTATTTGAAATCAGGTATACTAGTTATCCCTGAAACATTAAGGTCAGATTTCTGGCTAGTGAGCCATCTTGGGTAATTCTTTTGCAGATTGTGTTCTGAATTGTCCTTGAAAGACGATTTCTTGAAAAAAGATAAAGATGGTTCAGAAACGCATTTATTAGTCTTATTCACAAACTTTGGGTTTTTTAGCCTACCACATCGCTTTCCATTTATATTTGTGTATACAATAGGAGTAGCTAAGTTATCCTTGTCCATGGGAGTGGTGGGTTCTTGAAAATTCTGCTTCCTTTCAGTGTCCAATGAACTCAGTCTCCGAATGCATTTCTTGTTTTTCTTGCTAATTCGGTGACCTGGTCCAACATAGGTGAAAGAAAATGATCCATCTGCTGGAAGTTTTAATAGATCATCAGTAGTTAGGCTAATGGAGTCTATGTCATTAATAGTCTGTCTTCTATAGGATAAGGACAAGGAGCTTTTTTTGTGATCGAGATTTTCAAAAGCTGAAAAACAAAGCATAGTTCCGTTTATCTTTCTAAATCATATAAAAATACTTCATAATATTCAACAGTAACTGAAAATTAAGGATTTAAGAATTTAAGAATCATTTTTGCCATTTTATATTTACTAAAGCTTTGATTAAACGTATAAAAAGTATACGTTGCTGAAACAGGATGTGCTTTTTTTCCTAACATATTTTCAATTTGTTTTAACAAATTTCTACACTTTTCTCTCCAATCTCCTAAATTTTCCCGTGTTCTTTAATTTACAGTTTCTTCAGCTTTTTTCATCAAAACATACCCGATGCACTCACATTAATATTGATCACTCAAGACTGGCTGCAACATTGGAATAAAAATATGCTATTAAACCAGGTGGAAAAATAATTTGCTTTCTTGCCTACTAACCGTGCAATAGCACTAACACACAGGAAACAGCTGTTCTAATTCTCCTCTTCTGGAATATATTGCCCACATCCTTCTAAGAGTTGAATGCAAACTTTTTCCATACTAGGGCCATTCTATAAATGCTTAGTAAAATGTTAACTGGGTTATCAACAGATACATTTTCCACAATTGTCTTCATAGAAGACTTATCAAGAAAAAACTCTTAACATCTTGTATTATTGTCCCATAGAATACAGACCAGAAAGATTAACATAGTCCTATCTCATCAAGTTGATCAAGTATAAACTCAGAAAGGCTGAGATTTGCTTATAGTCATTAAGCTAGTTAATGAAAGCTAGAACCACCAAGTTAATGCTCTTTCCATTAGGTTATAATAAAATGGCGTAAGCGGCCGGCCCCGTGGCTTGGCGGTTGGGTGTGCATGCTCCGCTACTGGCGGCCCAGGTTCGGATCCCGGGCGCACACCGACACGCCGCTTCTCCGGCCATGCTGAGGCCGCGTCCCACATGCAGCAACTAGGAGGATGTGCAACTATGACATACAACTATCTACTGGGGCTTTGGGGGAAAAAAAAAAAAAAGGAGGAGGATTGGCGGTGGACGTTGGCTCGGAGCCGATCTTCCTCAGCAAGGAGAGGAGGACTAGCATGGATGTTGGCTCAGGGCTGATCTTCCTCACACACACACACACACACACAAAAAAAATAATAAAATAAAATGGCGTAAGGGTTTCAGATCAGCCAACTGCTATTATTAGTTACGGTCATCAGCTTCCTCTCCAAAGTCAAAAGAGGATCTTAGCTGAAAATTCCTGAAAACTGGAGAATTACAGAACCATTTAAGAAAAATATCCAGATCTCAACATAATAAAAGTTGTTTTTACTCCAAAAGAACAAAAAAGAGCACCTAGTTTTCCAAAGCTACAACACATCTCTCAAATGCTTTAAATCACTGGACAAAAAGAAAAAAGCATACCATTGTCTGGTTTATAAGTATAGCTGGAGAATTCTGGCATATTAGCAGAACATTTACCAATGTTAATCTTTCCAGTGCTTGCACCAGGATACATTTGGCTTAGATCAAAATCATCAATATAGGCCTGTAGAGCCTGAGATGCAGAATTGTACAGTTTATCCTTATACTGAAAAGAGCCAACAGAGTTAGAGGAATTACTACTACTCAGGCTGCAGCTTGCTAACAGAGAAGATACTGAAGATTCCCGAGAACCAAGTCTGTGTTTTGTATTTGATTTTGCCATGGCTTCCTCAAAATGGGTTATTTTCTATTCATTTCTCTTAAAAACAACTGTAATACAAAAACAAAAGGTTAAAGATCCAATTAAAAGGAATAATAGCCATATGCAGAGAAATTACTAAATATGTAAACTTTTTATAATCTTTAAAGAATAAAATCCATTTTCTATAAATCCTCCTTTTTAGGCAGTATGCATTATAGATTTTCTATTTTTTTAGTTATTGTGAATTCTTTCATCATTGATTTAGAATTATGGAATTATGTACACAAAAATTATCTGAGAATATGTACAGAAAGTACCAAGGGAAGAATACTCATTTTTTTTTAAGTCCTAAAAACTACTGATTTACAGTGTTTTCTTATGGTGATATATTCTGTGACATCATAATACCTAACATTCCCTTATGCAGAATATTTTTCAATTCATAAGCCTATCATCATGCACTGTAGATAGCAGGTGCTTGATAAATTTTTTAAAGGCATCAAATGAGGTATTAAAAATAAGAAAAAACAACAGAAAATATGCATTTTCAATGTTGTAAATGCCAATACATAACATTAGCCAATCCCTTTCCCGCAAAAGATTTGAGAGAACAAAATAATTTACAGTTATTTCTCTATAAAGGAACTACAAGTCTTACTGTAAAATGAGCTAGCAAAATGCTCTTTTCCTAACATAATATTGTTAATAATCATTTTCTGACCTTCATTTTTAGTACTACTCTCACTATTTTCAATTCCTATGTTAAACAGACTCAGCCCACCTCTCTTAAAGGAGACTTAAATAATTTGGAAATTGACTTAATGTACTTTCTTACTGTTTTTCCATTATTAAAATTAAGAGAATTGCTGTCTACCTTAATACAGCAAAAACAGGATCTATATTTGAAAACCTAAAAAATAACAGAATGAACAGGCACTACTTCAGGACATGATATGACATTCTTTTTAAAATTAAATTAATGGATTTTATGCACGAAAAATGAAAGATTGGGCCAGCCCTGGTTGCCTAGTGGTTAAGTTCCATGTGCTCTGCTTCAGCGGCATGGGTTTGGTTCCCAGGCACCGACCTACACTACTCGTCTGTCAGTGGGTCTGTCAGTGGCCATGCTGTGGCGGCTGCCCACATACAAAAAGACGAGACCTGGCAACGGATGTTAGCTCAGGATGAATCTTCCTCAGCAAGAAGAAAAAAAAAATCCTAACAATTAAAAAAAAATGAAAGATTAATGTCTAGGACTTAACACATGCTATGCTGTTGTAAAGTTAATGTTTAATTTTTGGCTATAATTTTGGGAATGTTTAAGTTATAACTTCTAACATAATCTTAATAACTGTCAAATTTGACTTTAAAATTGAAAGTCTCCCATCTAAAGAAGAAATGACAGAGGAAAACGTCATCCCATGGAGCAGGCAACTGCCTTTATAAGAGAGCTGACAGCAGTCAGTGGAAGCAGCAGCAGAACATAAGATAATAGTTACTTAGCCTCTTTGACTTCCCTGAATGCTGTGATAATGGTCTACCTCTAAAGAATGGTTAGACTAAGTAAGTTTTGCCCTTTCTTTACCCCTCTCCCTAAAGAGGTTTAAATTTTCTCAAGTACACATTGGTTGGATAATAAGCTTCTCCAAATGTTTTCTCCCTTATTCCAATACAGTACAGGTTAACGATTTTTACAAACCTTAAAAAAAAAAAAAAAAACCTTAAAAGAGAAAGTTGTTGGATTATAGTTCTCAGTAAGCCGGCAATAACATTAACTGACAGGAGGCAAAAAGAAAATCCACAATTGAATTTTTATTGTGGAAAGTTTCCAAAAGTATACAAAATTAGAAAGAATAGTTTAAGAAACCCCTATGCACGCATCATCCGGCTTCAAACACTTACCAACATACCCAAACTTTTTATCCACCCACTTCCCACCTCCGCCACAGGATTTGGAGAAGCAAATCCCATTTATCTCACCATTTCCTCCGTAAACACTTCCGTTCGTATCTTCAAAAGGAAATCCATCATTGCGAAGAATAGAACGCTAACGGAACGGCCAGAAATTCCTACTACCTTTGATGCAAAAATAGAATGTTCAGTGTTAAATACCAATGGGAATAGCGCACAGGAAATTAACAACTCTTAGAAATAACAGCTCTGTGACACATGCTATGAAACTGAACATCTACTGATTCCGCAGCAAAAAGACAAGAATTCGTGAACCGGGAAAGCCACGACTGCTGGCGCCCTCCACCACAGCATCTTTTCTCCCGGCGCGCTGGGTCCAAACCTTCCGCCCTCGTCTAGAAACGCCCTCCTCTCGGGGTCCCAGCCTCCCAGGCCGTCATGGCCACGGGCAACTCAGAAACCATTTATCAGGCTGCGACAGTGGGCGCCGCCGTGAGCGAACGGAGTTTTTCTGGAGGTAACGGTCCCTAAACCCCCTCGCTGCCCGCCCCCTTCAACCGATGCCTCCCCTCCCCTGAGTCCCGCGTCAGGTCCCCTCCGTCCCGTTCCGCGGCCCTCTCCCGCCGGGGCACCCGCCCCCTGAAGTTGTCCTCTTTCCACAGGGACTCTCAACACGCGCCCTCTTTCCGGACATGTCTTCCCCCCCACCCCCGCCACCCTTCTTTAGCCTTTCCCTTGAGCTGTCAAAGGATGGGACGCCCCTCGAAAATACACCCCCTTTTCGGGCCGAACTCACCGAAGGCCCCAAAAGAGAGAAAAACGCACACTTCCGCAACTCTCCCCCGAAAGCCTACGCCTGTCGTCGGACGGGAGACGCGACAAAGCATCCCCGACCGGGCCAGGGCCCCGCCTCAGGCTCCGCTCGCTCGCAGCTTCCTCCGCCGTCACAGCGGAGCGCGACGCCCGCGCTCGCTTTCAAACCGACCCAACATGGCGCTGACTTGCGGTGCGCATGCGCGGCTCTCGGGCGCGGGGGTCGAGGGGGCGAGGGGCGAGGGGGCGAGGGGCCGAGGGGGCGAGGGGGCG